TTTTTTAAACTCCCCACTCAACGCTTTAAAAAAAAAAACAACAAAAAAAAACAATTTGTTTGATACATTGAATCCATGCAATGGGCACACCCCTATACGTATGAAAGGAGAACTATTGGGAGAGCAAAATGTACTCTTCCCAATACTTTGAGCCAGTGTGACACTGCAGCTGTCACATGCTGGCTCTATAGATTGAGAACTGAGTGATCACAAACCGCTGATCGGTCTTCTCCATGCAGAGAGCAGTGACCGTCATTCACCTCCCCCCACAGGGATTCCCCCTCCCCTCTGTTCCTCCAGCACTCATTGGAGGGACATAAAGGGGGGGGGGCAAAATTGGCTGTTGTGCAAGAGAAGCAGAGCCAGCTGTCAGTTAGGTAATATTGGCAGGATCTTTCCCGGCAGCAGCGCAGCTCTCACTGTCAGCAAATAGCGGGCATTAGCTCTCTATATGCTGAGTTTGGGTCACAGGTGTACATTGGTAAATGTAATCCTGTGACACAAAAGAGAACTGAAGTAAAAAAAAAAAAAAAAAGAAGAAGGTTTGGCTTTAGTTCTCTTTTAAGCTTAGGGCCAGACAGTCTTCTCCAGATCTATGCACTTGGTAGCAAGCTTACAGAAGACAGACCACGGGATAATACACAGACTTACTGGTCTTGTAATTGGCGATGATGTTTTCCATCGTGTAGGAATTGACAAAGGTAAATATATTTACAGAATTTCTTAGTTGTTCAAAAGCAGTGGGTAACTACAGCGACAAAAGAATGAAATACCGTAGATGAAATAAGGAGATGAAGCCGAAGAATGAAATGGTCAGACTAAATGGGAAGAAATGGTTACTGGATTGACTTCCCAGCAAAGGAGGTGGAGGCGAATATGGCATGAACATACAGAGAAACATAATGAGATAAATAAAAGGTGCGGTTGGCAGAAGACAAACAATAACACAAAGAATAACAGAAATGGCATGGATATCTGATGGTAAGCTCACCTGGGTAAGAAAACAGGTTTCTGTGCAAGATGCTCTCTCAGCTCGGGGGAAGTAGAGTCACAGTTCATGTATCTTTCCACATAGTCCGACCAACGCTTGAAAGAGAAGACAAAGGGTGCAGAATTAGTGACAGAGCCCGGAGCGCCAGGAACCACAACCAGCATGCAGAGAAGAGATAGAGCACAGCAAAGAAGTGCCAAGGAGGCAAAACTGCTTTTATTCTATTACAGGATTATAGAAAGCCAGCAGAGAGCACTTACCTGGCAAGCACATAATTATACTAGACTATATATATA